CGGAGACAAGATAACATTGCATAGCTCATCTTATAGTGAACATTTAAAACTTTTTCTTAATAATGATCGGATCTCCCAGTATTTGTTGATACCGACTAATTTCAAATATACGAGACTATTAATGCAGATCCGTCTCTCGGGAAAATATATGATCAAGATTTCTGTTAATAATAAAATTGTGAAAATTACTCCAAAACTTGAGTTTCAAAATGTGCAACAATAAAGTAAAGGCAATACTCATCATATATTATTTAAATGCCCAATTTAGAAATAGAAATAGAAATAGAAATAGAAAAATAACTGGGACACAGTCCCTTGAGAATAACAAAATAGAACAAAATTAATATATTACATCTGGCCAAAATAAAATCAATCGAAAAAAAGAAATAATGTAAAAAAAAATATAAGGTAAAAATTCTATATACAAAACAAACTAAACTATATACAAAACCATTAATACTATGACAAGACACTTAAAGCTGTTTGCTCTTGTAGACCAGTATTCACTTTTACGAAAAAAATAAAGAATTAAAAAATAAAAATGTATCAAATTCTCTATTAAAATCAGCTCGAATGGTTAGCAACTATCTGACTGTTTTTGGGATAGGATTTGGAATAGGAGGGTTTTGAATGTGGATATGGATGGGGAATGTCGAATTTTGATAGGGAGGGAATTCCAGAAATTGACAGAGCGAACAATAAAGGAATTTTGGAATGAGGCAGATCTGTGAGAAGGCATGTAAAGGTTAGAAGGTCGAGATCTTGTGTACAGGGAATGGACTGAGGATTTGAACTGGAGAAGGTTGTAGGCGTAATAGAATTTATAGTAGTTTAAGGGTACAAATTTATCAGGATATGGACAATCTTGATGGGATTGAAATATTTAAGCCAACCAGTGCAGAAGATATGAGAAAATTATATTTTTTTTATCTCAAATATATCAAATTATAGAGAATTGGTAGGATAATCTTGAATATTTTCCTCCGCATAATATGGCAAAAATTCCATATTGTACATCGGCATGTAATCTGGCCGGGTATTTTTCTTGTCTGTTCTCTTAGGTATAGGGGTAATGTTTTAATTTAATTTTAAAGCATAGTTTAATTTTAATATTTTTTTTAAATGTGTATTTATATATGTATATTTTATATCCATTTGATAATTGGAACTATTTTAACTGTCTGAACTTTACCGAATATAATTTTTAATTTATGCTTAAGAGTGTTGTAATATATGTTATACAGTGTAAAAAGGAATTTGTATTTCCATAAGGATAATAAAGTTTGTTATTTTGTGAAAGACTCCATTTGTATTGCGTTCTTCCCTTAAAACAAATAAAGAATGATTGATTGATTTATTGATACATATGTCAAATTGAATGAACTCATGTATCATATTTGTAACAAAATATATTCTTAAAGAAATTTATTTTAAACAAACATGTCCAATAGATATTTTGAAATTCTCCAATCCGCATAATTTCCAAAAATAAGGTCATTACCGACAAAATAGGGCAATTTTTTGCTGGTTTGTTTATTTTAATTGTTAGATATCGGATAAGCGTTTTAGAACTTACATTTAGAATTACAACATCATTGTAATACAATTATTTAAATTGATAAAAACGATTTTTAAACGTGTACCACAAAAAATTATCACCGGCCATGCATGGTAGAGATGTTATGCAGTTATTCAAGAAAGGATCACCCTCAACCGCTAAGCTTTTTCCCAAGTGAAGGAACTCAATTTATAGAGCCTGGCTGTGCCACAGAAAGTTTCTCCACTACAGCGTAATGCACGGCTGATCTAATAGAATAAATAGTTATTTGCCATAGCTGAACTCGATTCTGAGTCCGAAAGGTAGATGAGAGAAGAGTGTTATACGAACTATACCATCTCTACATAACATTAATGAGAATGAAATAATTTGTCATATTATAGTATTGATCGTTCTTCATTGATCATTATTTATATCAATTTCCTTTTTACTCTTCGCTCAATACTAGAGATATGGATAGGGACAAGGTATAACCGAAACACCCTAATAATACTATAAATAAAACAATATAATTACGAGTAATTATTTTGTTTAATTTTACCTATGGGGAAGGATTTAAGGGGAAACTAGAAATAATCATTTTTAACACTTTAACAAACACAATGGGACGAAAAGCGGGTTTTCGTCGACATCGGCCTAAAACTTATAAATTATGTCGGATTAACTTGATATTTAGTACCCTTATGTTTTCAAGATCAAGGAATACAAATATGACGTCAAAGCTAGGAAATTCCTACAAAAAACATAGATAATTCCTTTTATAAACCTGGGAATTTGATGATAAATTAACTTCGAAAATTATAAAGACCTCTTAAAGCGTATAACATTAGATACATATTTATTACTACTTTTTTTATTACTAGCTATAATTGTTATTTTAAGAATTTTTTAAAATTAAAATCACAATAAAACACTTATACAGTTATAATATATTTATATGTAATAACTAAAAAATGTAGAGTAAAAATGTATCGTTTACCAATTATAAATCTTCATTTTACTGTAGATCTTCCGGAATAATAAACGTTTTATTTTATTTTTTATGACAATGAAATTTTAAGCACCATAGAAAATGATATTTTAAACACCGTCGATACTTCTTCACATTATCCGATAAAAAACATTCATATTTTTTTCATTATTTTTTTTTATTTATTTAGATATAATAATCTGTCTCGTGGACTATAATTAAAGTGATATATGAACACATTCACACCATATGTACAGGAAATATAAAATTAACAAAAGTAAAATAATAACTAAATAACAATCAAAAAAACTATATACAATAAAAAATTAAATAACCTAAAGATAAGTAATTCATTAATTTTAAAGAGTATATTAAGAATAACTGATACAGATCAAGTCATCCAGTCTTTGGGCTATAAAATAAATATATTTTTTAATGAAATTCTTATTATATACATTGATTGTTTCTACATCAGGCCCTAAACGTTAGTTGAAAAAAAAAAACGGAGTGTTTGGTATTGTTCAATATTTCGGGCCAGCTTGTCACTTTTTTAAAGAATAGGACTTTTAAAAGTAAGGTGTAAATGGAACTTACAGTCACACAACACTGGATTTAACCAACAATGGAATTATAAGAGGATGTCCAAAAACAAATCAGGTAGCCACTCGAGGTATCTTGACAGGTATCTTGGTTGACTAGGTATCTTGGCTTCCTTCTAGACAAAAGACTAACGTGGAACCAACATACCAGACTTAAAAGATAACAGCTTAACTGACGATATGGCCAACTATATAGACTACTCAATAGAAAATCTCAACTTTCAGTTGAGAACAAACTATTAATCTACAAGACAATCCTGAAACCTATCTGGACCCACGGACTCGAACTGTGGGGACAGTAAAACTTTCTAACATCAAACGCATTCAATCCTTCCAGTCTAAAGTTCTTCGAACAATAGTCCATGCTCCCTTAAACAATAAAACCCTATATAATGACCTTAATATCCCATTTGTACTTGACCTAATCCCGTAAAATTTTTCAAATTTCACCAGAATCTCACTCATCCTAATCCTAATCCCGTAGCGCCGTCTCTATCTAACTCCAGTAATCCCTACAATCCTCCTTGAAGATTAAAACGGCAGTGGCCCCGCGACCTTTTGTAAATATGTATATATTGGAGTACTGGCACTGACCAGATTCTCCACTCAATTCCTGAGCATCTGTTGCTCTATTGCCCTCCATCAGTTTCCACTGGCTTACAATACCAGTGACGCGGCAGGGAGAGAAGCACTGCAATCTTCTGGAATCCTGCTTTGGCTTTTACATTTGGGGGACAAAGCTTTATTCAGAGTCCTCTGGGCCAATGTAAATATTGTACATATGTGTGAATGTGTTTTATTTATTTTATTATCATTCGGCTTTAATGTGTTATTTTACTTATCTTGTATATTATTTTATCTTTTTATTTATATATAACATTTCCAAGTCAATTTCAACCCTATCCAAATCAAATTCAACCCTTTCCAAGTCAAATTAAACTTATTCCATTTCGAATTCAACCTTTTCCAAGTCAAATTCAACCTTTTCCATTTCAAATTCAACTTTCGAATTTTCATCAATTTTCGATTATTTTTTTTTTTATGAAGGTCACTTTATCATCGACAATATTATCGAAGGCATACTTTTTGAAAAATATAAGAATAATTATGATAACGCTGTTAAATATCCATTTATTTTAACTTTTTAGATTTTTTCAATATAATATTTCCATGTCATATTCAATTTTTTCAAAGTCAAATTCAACCTTTTCCAACTCAAATTCAACCATTTCCATTTCAAATTAAACCTTTTCCAATTCAGCTTCAACCGTTTCCATTTCAAATTAATGTTTTGAATTTTTTTTAAAATAATTGTCATTCCATCCCCCTCCCGCCCCGGCAATGTGAAGGTCTATTATTATACTCTCCTGAGTTTTTCAAAATACTATCGATTTTATGTTACACTTGCGGATATCGATTTATTGTACCTATTCGGATTTATTAGGCTTACAATACCAGTGACGTGGCTGAGAGAGAAGCACTGTGATCTTCTTGAGTCCTGTTTTGGCTTCCTCAATTGGGGGACAAAGCTTTATTCAGAGTCCCCTGGGCCAATGTAAATATTGTACATAGGTGTGAATGTGTTTATTTATTTTATATATATTTTATTATTTTATTTATATATATCTATATATATATATATATATATATATATATATATATATATATATATATATATATATATATATATATATATAGATAGATAGATTTTGAGTCTGTACTTTTAAATCAATATTCATTCTAAATTCTTTTAGCATAATAATTGTCTGATTACCACATGTAAATTATCTTTCATATATTTCTATGATAGATTATTTTAAACTAACTTCGTTTTTCTTAATATTGATTATTGTAGTAAATTAAATGATTTTAGGTTCGACGTGAGAGGTAGGCCTTTCAACCAAGCATTGCTCTGGAGTGACGCCCTTTCCTTCGGCCCGAGAGCCTACTTCGTGACTGGGAAGCGGCCCGTGGCTGCTCTCCAGTTGGACGCGGTGCAGCTCAAGGACGCAGGGGTCTACAGGTGCAGGGTCGACTTCAGGAACTCACCGACCAGGAACTTCCAAGTCAAGCTCACTGTTATAGGTAGCATGTCAACATCATATTAATCCTGTTAGTTTTATTAGTGACAATTTCGATATTATATTTTCTATGTATTTTATATATTTTTCTTATTTTGCAATCAAACTTTGACAGATGGCCGCAACTACAGTTCAATGATTGCCCTCAATGCTCTGTCTTTGTTTCCTTTTCATCTGGCTAATTCTGCAAATACTGCTGCTATAATTTGTGAACAGTGAGCTTTTGTACATTTAAACATTTTCACATTAAATAGTGAGGTGAGAGATATTTATTAAAAATTATGTTTAATAGTTAATTGATACTAGTTCGGTAGAGACAGCACAGCTGGTCGGTAATTCCCTTTATGGGTCTTGCCCTATCTACGTAAGATTCACGACCAAGGCTCTATTTACTAACACACCTTCCTTCGAGTGATATGGAGTTCGTATCCAAATGAATAAACTTTTTTTGTTTTCTCTTCTCTTTATTCCATTTATTTATTTTTCTCTATGACTTTTACTTTTATTTAATTATGCATAATGAAAATATTTCTTATTTCTTCTGTAAATAGTTTAATTTTAAGAGTTTATTTTGTAGATTATTATCATTTATTTATTTTTTATGTAGTTTTATGAAATTAATTTTTTTTTGTATTATGAAACCTGACAATAAGTCTAGTGAATAATCGGAGGAAGAGACCTCATTTTCCGAGGTCAGTGAGACCGATTTACAATATTTAAAAAGAAGAACTCTTCAAAAGTGAATTCGAAACTCTGCCCCCGGATCATCGGACAACTTACCAAACAAGAAAAAAAAATCGGCTAAATGAAAAAACATCTGAAACAAACAAAAGTACACCAAACACTCGCAGCAAAACAACATCAGAATCAATTTCACCAATAATTGAGGAATCAGTACTCTGTTACAGCTAACAATACTACAAACGCGATTCTGGAGCCAAAAGTTGTGATCCTGAACCGCCACCCGTTTTCGTCAAAAGTTGAAAATTTTATGTCCTTCGGACAAGAAATTGCTGATCTGATAGGACAGCCAAATTTTACATGTTGTTTCAGAGTCAATGATATTAAAACAAATACCGACTTGAAAGGAAATAAAAAAAAAAAAAAATTGAACATTTTACTTCAACAAAATACGATTTACATTGTTAACAGCTCAGGCAGGAAAACGTATACAGAGTCGTATCAAGAGTTATCCATCCAACTGCTTCCACAGGCACAATCAAAAAAGGTTTGGAAGAAATAAGCCATAGCTTAAGAAGCATAGCAACCGTTCTTCATCCTAATGAAAAATACCCGCTACCACTATTTTTCGTAAATCTCGAACCTGCAAAAAACAACCCCGAAATATTTAACGTAAAATGTCTTTTATTATCAATTTCCGTTTCAAAGAGCCCAGACAAAACCGATAATAGTATAATGCACTAACCGTCAAAATTTGGAACACACAGATGCCTAATGCCACCATCAGGTCAGATGTGTCAAATACGCTGGGTCACATCCATCTGATATCTGCGGCAAGAGGCTGCGACATGTGGTTGCATAGTTTATAAAAATCTTCTAAAGCTGTGATCGCATGACATGGCGTTGAAAAGTCTTACCTTGATCAAGAATGTGGCACTGTAGCACCCACAATTGAAGACAGGACAAATTTCCCAGTCAACTTCCGTCTGCCGACTGCCGTCGTCAACTTCTCAAGTAATGCAGCCACAACCATCCATCACCACAGCTACGGACTATCCTCAACAGGGTTCGAGAAATTTACATCTCCAAACAACCATCAAGAACCAGCAGCCTTGACGTCAGGCGCCTCAGCCTTCTCAATCCAAGCCTAAAACCGCTAAACCTCAGCCTCAAACTCCTCATCAGCAAATTCTTCCTCATCCTCGTCTACCCTTAAGGGTCAAACTTCCTTCAGAGCATCCACACCCAGTTCCGTCCGTTCTTAATCCCAAGATAACCCTTCCCCTCGCAAATCCAACAGAATATAGATCCAACTCCTTGCACCCCACGTCGGGCACACTCCTCTCCCAAAAATCTTGTAGAACAAATTAGCCATCACATCCTCCTGACCCAAATCCACTTCACAGCCGAAAACCATCCCACATCAATTCTGCCCTTTCAACATTTCTGATAGATCTTCAAGAGACTATCAAACCGTTCATTACCCTCCTCACTAGACTCCTTTCCGAAATCCTGTTCAACTTCCCTCGATGAATACAAAGCTCCTAGCTATCCTTTTGCGGAACGCTAATGTACTACTTAACCACTAAGACGAAATAGACTTAATTCTCCAAGAAAATAACATTGAAATTGCCCTTCTGAAGGAAACTCACTTCACTCAAGACTCACATTTCTACATACGTGACTACATCACTTATAGATTTGACCAGCCAGACAACACTTCCCACGCCGGTTCCTGCATCCTTATTCATAAATCTTTATCTCACTTCCTTATTCCTTCCACTCCAACTGATCCGATACCTAGGACTCCACCTGGATAAACATTCACTTGGAATCCTCATACAAGACTGAGAGGACAAGAAACTGCTCGACGTTTCCGCTTACTCCAACACCTTCTAGACAAACGCTCTGAACTTCCAATTAATTACACCAAACTCATATACATGACTATAATAAGACCTATTTGGACTTACAGAGTTGAACTATGGGGCTCCACTAAACCATCAAATTCCTCTCGTATCCAATCTTTACAATCCAAAATCCTTCGTAAAATCCTCAATGCTCCTTACTTTGTCACAAATGAAATAATCCATAAAAACCTTAATGTTGCATATGTTTCCGATTTTGCCCACACCAGATACCTTTCCTTCCATAATAAGCTTCATAACCATCCGAATTCTCTTGTTTCTAACCTTGCTTCCTCTTGGATTTCTGATAACCCTCCGAGGCGTCTGAAAAAAAAATGGCCTCGTGATCTCCTTATGTAGGCATATTATTAAAGTGCTACCAATGATTAGATTCTCAACAAGCGTTTTCATGTGATTATGTTCCTCTGTACACATTTACTTGATGTATTTATACTAATACAGTTGTAAATATCATAAATAAATAAAAAACTTTGTCAGATGAAGACAAATGGGTTAAATTTTTGTTGTAGTCGTGAACTTTGATATATCTCCGTTTTTGGACAATGGACATTTATCTGAGGTTAGTAGAAAGAATTTTTGCTAGTAACATTGTTTTTTTTTCTATTTTTTCCAAACATTTTATTTTTTCATCTGTATCTCTAAAACTATTGAATAAACTCTTCGGCGACAACTTAATATGTTTTAAACCAATAGCGGATCCAGGATTTAATTTTGGGGGGGCTTCAGCCCGGAAGTTTTTTTTTTCATATATATAACGATAATTACTTTAGAAAAACAGAAATATATTAGCTATCTATATGAAATGGTGTTTAAGTAATTCTTGAAGTCCTATTAAATGTAATTAAACGAGCAATAATAATTTAAGACATCATTTTTTAATATTTTTTTACCATAAAACATGGTTAAATTTTACCATTTTGGGGGGGGGGCTTCAGCCCGAAAGCCCCCCCCCGTAAATCCGCCTGTGTGATAAACTATAGCTTTACAAAATTTGACAAATTTTCAAAACTTGAAAATTAAAAGCTATAATAATTTTCATGTTATATCATATGTAATCAGCTTTATATCCTCAATGATCTGTCAAATACGAGTCAATTAAAAAAAATATATTCCATTTAACATTTTTTAGGGGGAGTGGATGAGAAGGGAGTGTTTGGTGGGAGAGGTGGAGTTCACTGCTCATAACCAGACGACCGAAATTGAAATACAAAATTTATTTAACAAACATTTACATCAAGTATATAAAATATGTGTAAATAAAGTTATTTAATGTGTAAACGAAACGTAAATTAAACATGTTTTCTCATATTCGAAGGACCAGGTCCAAACAAATCCGCCAATCCACCTCCTTCAATACCACATTTATTGTCTTTGACCTACTAAAATATTTGTAATGAATATTGAAATGAAAATATTTATTTTTTAAATATACCAAAGTAAAACCGATATATATATATATATATATATATATATATATATATATATATATATATATATATATGTATATATATATCTTAACTCCACGTTAAATGATTTTACCTAACAGCTGATATTAAACTTAACAGCTGTTACTGCAGTCCTTAACTCCACTCCGCCAGTTTACGAAAACTTCCGTTCGAACCGGGAGCAATAGCCAGAATTTACAAAAAAAAATGTTCAGATTATGTATAAAAAAACAAAACCTGGTCGACCAAAAGGAAAAAAAAAAAAAATCTTCTTACCACTAACTTATAACCTAAAGATGTATAAAATAATTAACTTATAATCCATAAAAATAGCAACAATTCTATTAATACAAATAAAAATAACAATATAAATTCATAAAATTATACCTACAAATTTTCTAGTATACAGCGACGAGGATCTCCAATTTGCAATGGATTACCCAGGTTCTCCCGTTGGAAACTTTAATTGCTCAATATGAACGGTTCTCCGCTTTCTGAGTTCCCTAACACTCTGAATAGTCACTAGATTTTGTTCCCTATTCATGACTACCCTAAGTGGACCCTCATACCTTGCCAGCTCTTTGATTCTATTTGATCCTAGTTTCTGGTACACTAAAGTGCCTATCATTATCTCTCCATTGATGTCTTTTTCGATAATATTTTCGCTTGCCACTCTTCTTGTCCTTTCTGCCTCTATCCCCCCCCCCCCGAGCTTTCTCTCATAACTTTCTGAGTTGTATGCGGTTATTCACTATTATCTCAGACAATGGTGTTTGTCCACCGCCGTGGCTCCATTATCTCTCCTCCGTCCCCAGATTCCAAAAAGAATTTCTACTGGGTAAAACCCTGTTACCGAGTATATTGAGTAGTTATACGCCGCTACTGCTCTAGGCAACGCCGCATTTGCTTCTAGGCCTTTGTCTACATGATATACCCTTCATATGATCTCCTGATACTATGAAGCCGTTTAATTCCTCCTCTATTCTTGTGATATCCCGGTTTATTATGATGCCATTCATTTTCGAGAGCCTTCATTTCTGTTCTAACGTTGTTGAATTCTCTTCCACTATGTGATAAAATTCTGTCTGGTATCCGGTAGAATTGAAACTACGTTCCTAGAGCTCTTAGCACCACCTCCACCAAACGCACTTGTACTGGGTATGCCGGGCTACTTTTCTGAATAGATCCATCACAGTAATCCACTTGCACCCCTTCCAAGTGAAATTGTCCATTTATAAATCGCTCAGCAGGGTAGTCGCTGTTGGCGTCTCCTCCTGTATTCAGCAGATGTCGGTCGTATTTAGTAAAATGGCGAATTTGGCATACCCCGATAACCTTTTTAATTGTCTTCTTCATCCCCCACCAGAAGTATTTTCGCTTTAGAGATTGTAATGTTTCGAGCTTCCCTCGGTGGTTTGTATTACTTTGGTGATATGCGAGCGTAACTTCTTCCTGCTGCGCCTCATCTTTCAGCGTTTGGAGAATTGATATTGGACAAGGCGTTCTAACAGCTTTGAAAGGTTGGAAAGGAGAGAAATAGGTCGGAAGTCGTGCAATGAGGTAGAGTTGGAAATTTTATTTAAAGGTCGGACTAGGGCAGTTTTTCAAGAGGATGGGAATATGGAGTTTTGCAATGGAAAGTTGTAGATATGGTAAAGAACAGGAATAAGGACAGGAAGGCTGGTTTGTATTAGTTTTACTGAAATATTATCAGGACCATAATCATTAGTGTGGGATTTTAGGATAGTGGAAAGTGATTCATCGTAGGACACATGGGAGAAAAAGAAGTCTTCAGGATTGAAATTGTGATGTTGATTTCGAAAGTAGGATAAGAAATGTGGGTGAAGGATAAGAAATGATCTGCTATGTATTGACATAACAAATAAATTGTTTAAATTATTATGACAAGTTGAATGAAACCGACTTCTGACACCAAAAACAGCGTCTAGGGAGGAGGAAAAGGTAAATAAGGACCGACCAGTACCTGGATCCTGGGGAAGACTTAGAGTAAAAACTAGAAACGGACTAAGTAACTGGTTATGTTTAGGGTATTACCAGGTATTGTAAAGTAATAGGGTGAAATTAAGAACCAATAGAAACCATCCTTGCCCCACCCTGAATATTTGTATATAATACGCCAAGAAGTAAGAAAAGTGGATGTCCGGCCTTGAGGATAGGTCTTATGTTGAGTCCTGGCCTTGAGGATGAGCCTTATGTTTTCTGCCGGCACGGGGACTAAAGTCTTGGCCCTACATAGACCATGATGATACTGGCAGATCTTTGAACCATGACGAAATGATCTCGAATCAGCAGATGCAGCGATGAAATCTACTACCTACACCACTTTACATACCATAATAGCTAAGTTGTAATTCCCAACCATAATGATAAAATATTTCATGGCAAAATAATTCTCAAAACAGTCCATCTGAAATCATGCCTGTACAGTCATTATTAAATCATATTTTTTATTTAGTTTATTGTATATAGTATTTGCACATTAAGATTTCTTTGTATATATTCTTTATTAAACACAGAAATAAATTAAGTTTTTAGTAAAAGTTATTTTAATCATCCTATTTATATCATGATGATCACAGGTAATGCTGGTAATTAGAAAGCATGATAAACACAAACCAGCCTTTGAGAAAAGAAATTCAATTAATTAATCATGGACCAAATATATTGTAGACCCAAATTTATTTTACTAATTTTTTATTAGTAATTTGTATTAAACGTTTCTGGGTAATTATCATAATAATTATCCAGTGGCATCCCGAATAAATTTAAACACCACAAAACGTAGCAACTTTATTGTCATCCCTGATGTGGGGATAAAACGTAACAACTCAGGTCATTGAGATCATCTGGAGTCACCGGATGGAACTGAGTTTGTTGGATTCTGGTAGAGATTACATTATATATACATATAGATAGGTTATATATATCAGTAAACGTCTGATTTGTGTTCAGTGAGCTAAAAAAAATAGAGTATATCAAACTTTCCTGCTGCAACAAAACTTTTCCCATATTGTTCTGACATAAATAAAATAAATTATTATAGTTTTGAGCTTCTATTTTTTTTTCAATTTCTATTTTTTAATATTATAAATAAAATAACGAAAGTAAATTTTTATCTGTATGTCGCACCCTTTTTGGTCCCCTTTAAGAAAAAAACTGTTTAACTTACACCGAGGAAACTCTTTTACTAGAAATACATTTCTGTGTTGAAGCGAACTTTTAAAATTATTTGAAAATATGTTGTTGTTGTTTTCGATAGGGTAGCTTGGGTAAAATTCACCCTGTACTATTCTACGCCCTTATTAAAATAATATATTGACTGTGTTTATGATTCTATACGAATCGTTCTCCAGAAAATTTAAATTTATAAACTTTTTTTAACTGCCTAAATAGTGAAAAAACAATATGGAATATGACTTTTAATATATTAAAATCATTAATTTCTGTCAATAGGAGATTTTTCTTTATAGATGACAGATTAGATCATGATTCCTCTTCTTTTGCCAATCGGTATATTACTTTATTTTTCGTCTACCGTTATTCAGTACTCTCTTGGTACATTTTTTTTATACCCAAACAAATTACACCAAGATTCAGATATATGTTGGTTCTGAGAAAAATTGGTGAGTAACATACATAACACGTTTATATCAGCAGCAATAAAAGAATTTGATCCAAAATTTTACTTCCACGTCCCAGAACAAATTTTGTTCACAGGAAAAATTAGCATCTTCCTCAGAAACAGAGTTAAAAAACATTGTTAATTACAATTTTTAACAATTAGAGATAATTTTTTGTTAATTTCTTTTTGTTTTCAGTACCACCGCACCAGCTGATCATCTACGACAACTCTGGAAAAAACCTGTCAGATACTGTTGGCCCGCTCACGGAGGAATCTGACCTGCTTCTCACTTGCGAAGTTAGGGGAGGTAAGGCCTTAATAATTTTTTCAACAAAAACTTTGCCACGAGTTAATGCTTGTGGTTAGCGATGTCGTTTCGAATTTATGACCAACTTGTTCCTCTAACCTGACGGGGCTCCTACTTCTATTACAAAATTTCCATTTAAGATGCTTATCAACCAATCTTCATTAAACTGTTCCCACTGTGGAGTTACTCTGAGCTGCTAAAGCGGGAGTGCTTGCCAACTTTCAACGTTTCCAAAGTCCTCAGGCTTAAACCAAAGTGACGGAGAAGACAAAATGTTGCTCAGCAAGTACTCCGCAACATCACTATATACAACGCTAAGACCTAATTCTGTGTATCTACAAATTATTGAATAGTTTATTAATAACAACAATGTTTCTAACAGTTAAAATGCATGCATCTTCACATTTAATTTTATATATAATATTGAATCATATATCATTTTCTTCACGGCAAATATTGGAGAAAAAATTAGAGTAAAACGATGTTGTTCATCAGCTGTATATCGATTTCAAAAAGGCTTACGATTCTATTGACCGCCAGAAACTGTATAATATTCTAATCGAGCAGGGGGTTTAAAAAAAAAATTAGTAAATCTAGTCAGGATGTGCTTGAGGGAAACACTCAGCAAAGTTAGAATCGGTAATAATTTATTTGAAAAGTTTGAGGTTCGTTCGGGTTTAAGACCGAGTAATTCCCTTTCGCCCGTCCTATTTAATTTGGCATTATAACATGCCATTAGGGAGGTAATGCGCACCGAAAAAGGGTTGGATCTGGGTGGCACAAAACCCCTGCTGGGCTATGCGGATGATCTGGTACTGTTAATCGAAGACGTGGGAACTTTAAAACTAAATATGACAACGTTAATGAATGCTAGTAAAGAACTAGGGCTCGAAATAAACACGGATAAGACAAAATATATGGTTAGCTGCAAAAATGGCAATATTACTGGTGATATCGATATAGGTGGTAATATGTTTGAACAGGTAGAGATGTTTAGGTATCTAGGGTCTACGACAACTAGAAAAAAACGAAATTGAAGAAGAAATTGAGGTTAGACTAAAGGCGGGAAATGCTTGTTATTTTTCTGTGACAAAACTACTTAGCTCGCACCTCTTTTTACGGAAATTGAAAATTAGAATCTATAAAACCATTATCTCATGTACAGTTCTTTATGGATGCGAAACGTGGCCGCTTACATTAAGGGATGAGCAGCGTCTTAAGGTTTTTGCAAATAAATTATTCCATAGAATATTCGGACCGAAGAAGGATAAACTTACCGGAGAGTTTAGACAGCTACACAACGCCGTATTTGTTTGAACTGTATCCGGTTAATATAATTGAGGTGATTTCATCCCGGCGAATCAAATGGGCTTGTAAAATTGTTGGGCTTCGTATCGAGAGAATTCCTAAAATGTTAACATTTGCTGTACCGAATGGTAAACGTCTGAGGGGTAGACCAAAGTGAAGGTGAGAATATTGTATTAAAGCCGATGTGAAGGGACTAGGTTTGGACGGCGGAACGGTGGAGGGAAGTGTGTAATAAGCAATTGGTTGTGTCGACATCGAACCTTCGGGTTCACTAAGCCTTTTATTATTATTATTATTATTATCATCATCATATTGAATCAATATAAATAAATATAAGTAAAAAAATTGAAAGCTGCAGTTAAACCTTGTCTAACTTTTCACCATGCTTACATCAGCAAAATAATAATCAGGAAGTTACTCGGACTGATTAGAATTTAAAAAAAGGGAAAAGGGCCTCGAAGTGAACGCTATGACTGCTTGAATAATACGGGCTTTATTTACAAACTTTATTTAGTTACTGTACTTATCAAACATATGTTTTTTTTTATAATATTTGAATAAGTGACTTAGAGTTCTTTATAAATATAAAGTATAATTAAGTATGTACTATACAACAAAATATTTTAAAAAAAAACTAGTGGGCGCATCACACGACTTTCACTTATCACCCTCTTCTTAACAGAACTAAGTATTTTCAGAGAAAGGGGAAGTAAAAGTAAAAATTATAGACGCTATATTTATTTACATTTTATTGTGGGTATTTTTATTTGTTTAAATACCTCACATAAACAAAATTTCATTTTTATGTCGCTGTATTCTTTACAATTAAATATTAAATAATAATAACGGTAGCATTTATGAAAACCGCATATATACATAATATTGTCGGAGTCCGAATTATATTAAGCTCATGTTACGTATTGGAAGCCAGTTGTACCCTTTCGGGTGATATCAAATTCTTTCTTATTTTAAATTCAACTGTTATCTTTTTTATAAAAGATTAATGCGAAATGGTTAATTATTTTAAATAAAGAAAATTAAAGGTACTTTAGAGCAAGCTCTTCATTGAGCAGTGGTGCAACAACTGGCGCATCAAAATTAATGAATCAAAATGCAAGTATGTAACTTTCACTCTTCGACGCAGATCCTGTCCGCCAATCCTTTTTAATTCAATTCCTCTTCCCTACTCAGACACAGTCCGATACCTTGGCTTCCTTCTGGACAAAAGACTGACTTGGAACCCACATACGAGACTTAAAAGACAAGAGCTTAACCGACGATTTGGTCAGCTATATAGACTACTAAACAGAAGATCTCATCTCTCAACAGAAAACAAATTATTAATCTACAAGACCATACTGAAACCTATTTGGACCTACGGACTTGAACTGTGGGGGACAACTAAATCATCGAATATCAAACGCATCCAACCCTTCCCGTCCAAAGTCCTTCGAACAATAGTCAATGCTCCATATTATGTCACGAACAAGACCCTACACCATGACCTTAACATCCCATATGTCCATGACATCATCCCATCCAGATTCTCCAACTTTCACCAGAACCTCATTCATCATCCCAATCCTCTAGCGCAATCCCTATCCAGCTCCGAGCATCCATACCATCCCCCTCGAAGGTTGAAACGGCAGTTCGAGAACTTTTGTAAATATGCCTTTGGAGTCCTGGCAATGGCCAGCTTCTCCACTCATGTCCTGAGCGTCTGTGGCTGTATTGCCCTCTTTCAGTCTCCACTGGCTTCTAATACTAGTGATGCGACTGGAAATGTGGCACTGGGATCTTCCGGAGTCTTGCTTTGCCTTCCGCGTGTGGAGGTAAAAGCCTGGCTCGGAGATTCTTGGGCAAATGTATATATTGTATATAGTTATGATTGTGTTTAGAAGTTTTTATTTTATTTTATTTTTTTTTTTTTTTTTATTTACCTTCTTCATCAGTATTATTTATTTACTTCTTATATTTATATTTATTTCTTTATTATTTGTATATATTGTATGAATGAGAACTTTTAGCCCTAATGCTTATTGCCCTCCAGCAGTGGCTGATTGTATTATTATTCAATAAAAAAAAAAAAAAAAAGAGCAAGCTAACATTGAAAATTAGCCATTTAAACCCTGTTAGAGAACATCAATGAGAATAAAACCTACATTATATTGAAAACTGCCTAATAATACACTGATATGCTGAGTTTAATCAAAATCGTTAGAGCCGTTTTTGAGAAAATCGTAAAAATATGTTAAGTCGATTATATTAAGTACCACTTCCGGTTTAACAATTTTGACGAAAATGTTGCAGTGGCATCCAAGGATTATAAAAACCTTAAATACACAATTTCAGTTACGTACGGCTTTTCGTTTTTGAGCTAGGCTGTTCACACACAGGCCATTTCGCGGGACTTGGTTATTTGGACTCAGAGGAACTCGAAACGTGTATTTCCATTGAAAACTCACATTCGAAAATTTTCATGGTCGCAATACTTAGCCTTACTATATATTACATATATAGCTAAGTGAAAGTAAAACCTAATCTAAATACAAAAAGTTCTTAAAGGTAGAAAAAAATTATAGAAAAATAATTAATAGGCTTTTGTGCACTAAGAATTTCTATCGATATAGTGAAATAGCATAATTTATAGCATTATTTGTTTTACTTCAATGATTAACCGTTTTAAACTGGTTTTTTTTCTTGTTTATCGACACCCAGGCTGCTGGTTATGGTCGCATTGAATTATTATTGGTTTGGAGTAAGTTTTATTTTATAAGCCGTAGCGTTGAGGACGGTGGTAGAGGGCCGGGGGCTGTAGCAGTGAGGGGAGGGGGGGATTAGCCCTCAAGTGGCAACTAAAGAATAGAAAACTTCATTAGGTCGCCGGAGAAGACTTCCTTTGAAACAATGGCCCATTCATCCAGCCTGCTTCTTTTATCTTCGGGACAAATTCCACTTCTTTCTTATCATCATTAGGTAAGAAATTAAAAAACCTAGATGTTTTGTCATTTTTCATAAATTTCTCTTTGTCTTATTCTTTTTCCCTTATTAGTAAGCACCCTTAGAAGTAGGTCGCCAGAAAATTCCAAGGATTATTTTGAAGAACAGTTAAAGGCGGTTTAAATCTCTCCTAGTAGCGAAGAGAAAATCTAATTAGCTCAGCTATAAAAAAATAGCGCAGTAAAATTAGGGTTTGACCCAAACATCAAAAAATATAAAGCTGAAACACCAAAAATTGTTCCTCGCTCTTCCCGAACAATTGGTAAAAAGTCCTGAGGTTTCCAGCCTAAGCTTTTGAAGGTGGGTGAAGAAGGTGGATACAAGAGTATAGCACTTGTTTATAGGTAAGCCGGTTTGTATAAACTCTTCTGTAATATAATAAAAAATAGAATTATAAACACTATTTACCAGGACCATGATATAAAACAAGCTGGATTTCGAACCACATTCTTTGTTTGGGAAGCTCTAAACGAATGTGGTGTCGACAAACTCTATATTGATGTAATCACTGAAATATATAGGAATGGAAAGGCATTTATAGCTTTCGATAGGGAAGGTGATTACTTTGAAGTTGAATAAAGGTGCCCTCTATCTCCAATTTTATTCAATTGTGTTCTAAACAACCTGTTTAAAGAATTGAATTGGTAAAACCAGGGAATATCAGTCAATGGGAAAACAGTGAGCAACCTAAGATTTGCTGATGACATATGTTTAGTATCCTCAAACATAGATGGCCTTAAAGGAATGATTGGAGAATAAGTGGAAACCAGTAAAAAATATGGACTGAAAATTAATATGGGAAAAACTAAAATAATGACAAACTCCGCTCAAATTCCAATCTATATAGACAATGAACAGGTAGAATACATAGAAGAATACATTTATTTGGGCCAAACAATAGCATTCAATAAAAAAATTAGTAAAGAGATCGACAGAAGGATAAAGCTTGGATGGTACAAATATTAGTCCCTTAAAACGATTTTTTTATTTCTTAATGACATTTACAACTGTATTAAATAAATACATCCAGTAAATTTGGACATCATAGATATAATGACATGAATACACTTGCTGAGTAACTACCCAATGGTTGCACTCTCTAGCAGATCACGGGGCCATCTTCTTTTCAGACGCCTCGGAGGGTTATCAGGAATTGATGAGGAAGCAAGGTTAGAAACGAGAGGGTTGGGATGATTCTTAAGTTTATTAGGGAAGGATAGGTATCTGGATTGGGCCAGATCTGAAACATAAGGAACATTAAGGTCTTTATGGATAATTTTATTAGTGACAAAGTAAGGAGCATTGAGGATTTTACGAAGGATTTTGGATTGTAAGGATTGGATGCGAGAGGAATTCGATGGTTTAGTGGAGCCCCATAGCTCAACTCCGTAAGTCCAAATAGGTCTTATTATAGTCAAGTATATGAGTCTTTTGTAATTAATGGGAAGTTTAGAGCGTTTGTCTAGTAAATGCTGAAGTAATCGGAAACGTCGAGCGGTTTCTTGTCGTTTCAGTCTAGTATGAGGATTCCAAGTTAGTCGTTTGTCCAGGTGGAGTCCTAGGTATCGGATTTGGAAAACGATTTTTAAAAGTAATAAAGCGATAAATCTTAAAACCAAAGTGTTGATTACTCGCGTTTATCCTACGATTCTCTACGGAGCACAAACTTGGACATTGACTAGGAAACTTGAACTCAGGTTGAACGTTATGCAGATGAAGCTTTTAAGGAGTTTAATGTCAATTAAGAAGAGAAAAAAAAAACAAGAAATAAAGACATTCTCCGAAAAGCGGATATTAAAAGCTTAAGGGCTGAAGCTCATCGGTTAAAGTGGAACTGGGCTGGACATAGGGCGAGGTTGAAGGATGAAAGATGGTCCAAAGCATGTACCGAGTGGATTCCAAGAGAGAACAGCAGGAAAAGAAGCCGGCCGCATCTGAGGTGGCGGGATGAAATGATACAACATGTAGGGGAAAACTGGTGGCTTGTGGCTAGGGATAGATATGGATGGAAACAAGTTATAAACAATATTTAGTTGTTGTGTTTTGTTTTGTTATATTCTGTTTGTCTTTTTATTAACCGAGTGCTTCCAAGATTGTTCTGTTAACTATATGGTTTTGTTTTGTTTTGTTTTTCTAAGGCCTTATATGGCTATTTTACAAAAAAAAAATTATATCTGTTCAGTTTAATTTTAAACATTTGAAAAAAATATTGTAATAACTTAAACATATTTTTCTGTGCTTTAGCCAACTCCGTTAAAATTCCTCATTAAGTAATTCTTACGCGCTTATGGGTAGGTCATACACGCCTTACCCATGGATACCTGATGGCCCGTGATCTTCGCCAACATGCCAAACTTGTGGGACTCCTCTGATAGTGAAATACATTTTAACAGAATGCAGAGCTTACGAAACATTAACACTCTCTTGTGACTTGACAAACCATCTACACTCCATTTTACAGGACAATACGAATGAGGTTGATAAACTATTTTCTTTTCTGAAATGTTCTAAACTTGAGAATACAATCTAGTTCTCGATGAAAATAAGGCAATGACCCTAGTGGTTGAAGCCTTAAATATAAAAAAAAAAAATTCTTCGTCAGGGAGAGGCTTTTATCAATAATTGATGTCAATAAAGCTTATTATTATTATTATATGTAAGCCTACAATACACTCACTATAATCATTATATTGCACTCCACAAGAATCGAGCCTATAAAATACAACTAAACAATACATTACCAATTAAACCAGCTGATTTCATTTTTTTCTAAATATATTTGTACAGTTGTAAATTTCATAAATAATAATAATAATAAAAAAATATTTTACTTAATATTTAAACTTTAAAAACTTAATGGCATTAAAACAAAACAAAGTTATTAATTAAGAGAAAATCATTTAATTAATAAATAAAATAAATTAACGCTGCGAGCGTTAGCACTGATAATGTTTTATGTAATGGAGCTACTTTTATTTGTTTCATGAACTGATTTGAATAATGTTGTTACTTGAGCATGTTTTGTGATACAGGAGAGCCCACTCCGACCGTCAGCTGGTTCATGAACGAGAAGTTGACAGAGGGTCAATTGGACAAGGCAGCTGAGAACGTCATCATCAACAAACTGTCCCTCCCTCGCCTCAAGAGGCACCACCTCAACAATACCTTCAAGTGCCAGGCCAGCAACACCAAGCTCATGCAACCTGCGGAAAAGACAGTCCGTCTTGAAATGTTCTGTGAGTAACAACTTGATATAGCCTTAAAGAAAGAGTATATCATTGATTATAAACAGGTTCTCTGTTTTAATTAGTACTATTAGTAAAATCACGTCAAAAATAACAATTACTATCAAATCACATAGGTTGTTACTGTTGGAGAAATCAACAGTTAAGCACCGAACTAATTAACAAAAGAACCTACTTTTGAAAGAGATTTTTGCATAAATTGAGGGGTGTTCCAAGGGGGGAGGGCATAAGAGCGTTCCACCTTGAGTTCCAATGTTAAAGGGGGCGTAAAGAACTGGGGGGAAAATACATTACTGAAATTAGATGTTTTAAATAAGCATGAATTTTATTAAAAATTTACTTCCCAGTGAGGCCCATCAATGTCGAACTGTCAGAGAAGCCGAAGATGTTGGTAGCTGAGGAGGAGTACAGAATCCAATGTTCTTCCCTCGGCTCCAGGCCACAAGCTGAGCTCACCTGGTTCAGGGAGAACAGGAAGTACAAGAAAGCAAAGGTGATAACAATCTTTATATAATACACATTTTATGATTAAAAAAATACTATACCGTGCCTTTTTTCATATAATGTTACTTTACTCTATTTATTTCCTTAGTAGTGACTGTATGATAGAAATATATTCCGATTTTTTTTTTTTCAATACGGATGAAAAAACTTAATATTTTTTCATTTGTATTGAAAAAAGCGCTTGATTGGGACCAGACTGAAAGTTTTCACACAACAATTGCCAAAAGCTCACGATATGGCATATAATATACAAATTATATAATAAATAAATAATAAATTGATGGCTAGTATGAGAAAATTAAATGCTACCAAACAATAACTATACCATTTGAGTGCTACCTAACTATAATATTCAGAACAAAGAATTGACTTTTTAAATATTATTATTTTTATTCACAAGCATAAAACACCATATGATAACTAAAATATAGGTTTAGTGACTTCAATGGAAGTCTTGTGCAAACAAATGAAAAAAAAAAAGTTAAGTTAAACTGAACCTTTTATATCAAGGCCATATACATTACATTATTCTTCCCTTAAAAACTCTCTTAAGTCTTTTCTGAGGCATGCTCGTTCTTTCCGACCTTCTTATCCCGTTTATAACCGCTTCAATGTCCTCTTTTCCTTTTTCTAACTACATTTTACCTTCTGTTCTTATTTTTCTTCAGCTCTTTTATCTTCTCCCTTCCCTTCCTGTGTACTATTCTTAAGTAAGTTAAGTTCGTCATTCATTATGACCAAAGGACATTCTCAAACGTCATGAATTGTGATTTTTTTACCCTAGTATAATTCTGCATAAATTGATCCACACGTCCCTTGGCAACACATCCTGACTCTAACAATCGCACCCAATAGATGGTCACACCCAACAGCTCGTCAACAATACGTTTCGCTCAGTTCTATTTTTTTAACTTTGTAACTCTTTACATACTCTCTCTCTCTGCCCAACTTGAAAAACAATGTTTATTTTTCCTGATATTTGTATTTGACGATGGTGAACATTTTTATATTTTCTCTGAGCTCTAGAGTAGTTTTTACCTTTTTTTCAGTAGTCCGTTCATTCATAAAATTTAATCAAGTTCTAAGAGGTCTCCCGAACATCAACCTGGCAGGGGTTTCACCAGTCGACAGATTTACAAAATTACGATATGTATGCAAATATTTTGCTAAAGATGTGTCTGAAGGTTTTCCTCCTATTCGGACTTTGGCAAAAGAAGGGTAATATGGGACACCTAATATGCATTCTATACCATTTATTGGGTAAAAGTCTTTATATTCTTTAGGATTAAAAACTGGGAGCCATTTCTGAAACTAATTGTCTTGAAGGACTATATGTAGAAAACAACTCTATCGAAGCCACAAATGTTTTTCGGGTGGTGCCAATTTATCAACAGGGATAGATTCGGTCCACTTATTATGGGCATCAGTAATTACTAAATATCTTTTATTGTCAATGGGGCCCATAAAATCCACACGTCCATGTTTCTTCTGGTCACTTCCAATGAACAGTTGATGACTTATAAGTAGTTTTGCCCAAAATCGATCTTGGTCTTGCACTTTGCAAGACCAAGACCAACACCGTCTATCTGTTGCAAGATCAAGACCAACTCTATTAAAAAAAAGATCGATTTTTTGAATAAAAATTGAGGCAAAATAGTTACTAATACTTGACAATTTTAGTTACTGTATGTAAAGAACTCTTACAATTTTTCATTCAGACTTAGTGAGGTTTCTCCTATCTAAAAAACAGTAATATCTCTCTAGTAATAAGCTAATAGGTAACTGCAAGACTGTTACGAGAGTCTTGCGCAAGACCAAGAGCTAGACCGAGACTGAGTTTGCAAGTCCAAGACTCGTCTCGGTCTCGCATTTGGGCAACACTACTTTTGAGGTCCCCCTGCATACTTCACGTTCATTTATTACTGTTTCCAAACAACTATTCATACCAGGCCACCAAAAATAATCCCATACCAGAAATTCGGTTTTTACTAAGACCATTTCTAATACCAGTGAAGTTGTTGGGGGAGAGGCTATTTTATCTCTATAATGAATGTCCTTAATTGAGATCGAATGTAATATTTCTCAACAAACAAGTAAAAAATAAAATAAAAACTATGTCCATATAAGACAGATGAAGGCATGACAGTACTTGATGGCCGATCCATGCCAAGTCATCCGGTAAAAGTTCAATCTACCCCTTCCCCCACCCTTCCCGCAGATTTTTATGAAAATTTATACATATTAAGTAAATATTCCAATAAGAAAATAAAGCCAAGCTTTAGCCAATTCTAACGTGTAGTTGGATAATTATGGTCATTTGAACTTTTGAGATACTTGAAGTTCGTAAGACAATTTAAGACCGAAATTAGCTTGTGTTTCGGCTTTCATATGTAAAATCATGAATTATTGAACTGGGGCTTTCAAAATTTATTCATTTGTTCTATTTTGATGTAGAATTAGATGGCACCATATGTATTAGGATTGTAATTTTAAGTTATGAATAAAATAATTCTTAAACACATATATTAATATTTTTTAAAAGTTGTGATAAAAGCTTAACTGTAACAAAAATCTCTCTCCAATATCGTATTAAAACCATATATTACTATAAAGAGCTTGAAATTCTCTAATAAGTGGTAAAATAATATTATAATATTTTAAATTCAAAGCGTTTTATTTCAGTTGAAATTGAATACAGTATAAAAATTAAATTTACGAATCGCATACGAGTAAACTCATATACAAGTAAAAATGGTAAAAATCACTATCCAGAAATCTAAATACAGCCATACATAACGGAAAGGAGGGTTATTACCCCCCCCCCCAATGTTAAAATAATATTGGAAAGATTTTCAGTTTAATGAGTTTTATTAAAATTAACTCACAAGTTTACCCACTCTCCTTACTACCTAATGCAGTTTATCACTCTGAGTTCGAATACCTTTTACGCAAATTGCTCCTCATAAATCTCCTGGATAAGACCTAACCCTGAAGATCCTTCGACAACTTCCACCGAAACCTATCATATTCCTTACACATACAGGGTATCTCGTAAGTAAAGAGAAATGTTTAAAAGGTTGATAGTAGACATCAAGATCTACAAAAAAAGTTTATATAAACGATTGCCTAATATCCAGCAGAAAAGCAGGAAATTTAATATTTGTGGTTTTTTTTTTTTAAGGAGTCACGTTTTTTGTTGAATAGGAAGCAATAAATAAAAAAATATTTGATTTCAATAATTAAACATTAATCCATAGAAAACTAGACAAAATTTACTTTAAAAAAAAACAGAGTTCGTTATTGTTAAAAACATTTAAAGAGTACTATTGAGCGGACTAACTCAGCAAAGTTCAGTTTAAAAAAATTCATAAAATATCTGTGATTTTTTTTTTATAACCCTTCAACTGTACTACAGTTACCTCACTTCTAGAAAAACTTCCTCATTTAATTAGCTTTAGGTCCATATTAATTAAGTTGAGGTTTATTGGGGAAAAGTTTTAGATTCACCTCAAGTTGTATAAAGAAATGGTGTGATCCAATCATATAAAAGTACTCGTGTTTTCAGACAAAATGACTACAATTAACTGTTGTAAAGCTATTATTTCTTATTTTTTCGTGATATAGGATGTAGTGTAATAAACATAATTTCCTATAAATGCATTTTATTTATAAAAATAACGATTTTTTAAATATTTATCATGTAATGTTGTTATGAAATTGTGTTTTTCTTCAAGATTTTTGATATAAAAATTAATTTGTATTTATAAGTGAAGCATAATGTTTCTTACCCTTATATTTACGTTTTCAAACAAAATTAACAATTATTTTGTTATGACCGAAATCTGGGGGGAAAACATATAAAATTATAAAAAATTATAATTTGTGACTTTTTTTTAAACTTTGTTGAGTTTGTCCGCTCAATAGTTCTTTTTAAATGTTTTTAACAATGTCAAACTCTACTTTCGTTTGAAGTAAATTTTGTCTAGTTTGCTATGGAGCAATGTTTAATTACTTAAGTAAAATATTTTTTTAGTCATCGCTTCCTATTCAACAAAAAACATGACTTGCTTAAAAAACACAAATATTAAATTTCCTACTTTTCTGCGGAAAATTGGGCAATTGTTTGTATGAAATTTGATGTTAGTCTTAATTTCTACTATCAACTTTTTAAATATTTTTTTCTGTACAAGACATCTTGTATATACAATTGTATTTTACGAACTACCCACTATCTACTGTATGGTAGAAAAATTCTACCATCATCCTTTTCCTGAAACCTGGAAAACCTTACAATAATACATCGTCCTATAAACCAATTCTAGATACTCCCAATTCTTTCAATAGTATTTGAAAAGAATCATATTCATAATAAAATCCTAAAACCTTCCTGCCAATCAATTCTGATTTCGTTCCACATTCCACTGCCCAAAAAGGACTCCGAATTGTTGACTTTATATTGTCAGCCCTGGAAAACAAGAAGTATTGCTCGGGTTAATTTCTGGACATAGCTTTTGATCGGGTACATCACCCCGGATTGCTCTTGAAGCTTAAATTCCATCTACCACAGTCCTTATATCTAATACTCCGATCGTACCTCTCTGACCGCTCCATTCGAGTTAGCTGTTACTGAATTCCCCGACTGTTATTCAATGGAGAGTGGTATTCTCGTAGGTTAAAACGGCAGTGGCCCAGAGACTCTTGAGAAATATGTATGTACTGCAGTTCTGGCAATGACCAAATTCTTTACTCAAGTCATGTGTGGCTATGCTCTTACTCAACCTCCGTTGGCTTTGAAAACCAGTGAAGTGGTTGAGAGAAAACGGCGGGATCTTCTGAAGCCTAGATTTTCTCTTAACAAGTGGGAAGGAGAGAGAACTGGTTTGGAGAGTTACCTTTGTTGATTGTAACCTTCCTGTAAATACTTTATCATTATTTAAATAGGGAAACACAAAACGGTTCAGTACCTTTTTCTCCTCTATTAATCAACCCATTTTCTTCCTCATTTTTTTTTTGTTTAATAGCTATTGACGAGCTTTAGTGTTTTCAATAAATAAAAATAAGAAATAGTGCATATAAATAAGAATATAAATGGTAGTTTCTTCAAAACAGCTAATCTCTTTACACATTTCTTTGAAAGTTTGATACAACGTCGCAATCAGATTTAGGAGTGCTTTTCTATACATAACATTGTCATCCGGCCGTTCCTTTCGAAATGGCGGCCGAAAAACGTGATTCGCTGTAGATTGTAACACCAATACGGCAGCAACGATTTTAATGAAACTTGGCGCAAAGTCTTCCCCTTGAAACCGTTATAATTTATGCATGTAACATACTTTCACGAAAACTGTTTGTATACATTTTTACGATGAATACAGAATTTTATTTGTTAATAACTCAAAAAGAACAACATTTTTAATTTTATAATACTAATATTTTTTTTAGTCTATTACTTTATTTGTTTCTAATCTAATTTATATATTAATTAATACCTTTCCAAAAATGACATTATGAGCCTGTATATATTTTTGAGACAGTTTAACTTTTTTTAGCTAGTCTATTATTGCAGGTGCCCCCCTCCCCCTCTCTCCCATTCTCCCTCCTTCCTTTCATCCAAGTAAAGGACTCCCTCGTCCTGCGTTCCCTCTGGAGAACTCAATCTTTAAATTTGACTTTATTAATTTAATAACTTGTCAGTTTATACTCAACTTTAATATTTGATTTTAATATTTATTAAAATATATTTCAATTCATGCATCAGCATCCACTATACATGGCTCAGCATCATAGATACATACACATTTACTTAATAATACGTATACTTGAAAGTTCAATTAAAAAAATGAAGAGAGACAGTTGTGAAAGAGGAAGTGGTGTATAATATTTATTTGTGGGCGGAAAGAGGAGAGTAGGAGAGACCTAACAAACTGTTTACGCTAGAGGCACTCTTTCCTAACGAATGTTTGCCTCCCTTCAGTGGTTCTTCAGGCATGACCACCTCCGCACCGCCTTCCATCCCATTTCGTATGCCGTTCTAATCGTGAACTGCTATTGGCTAATCCTTTAGTCAATTATCACCAAGCTAGTAGCTCATTTTACTATAATCGAAATTTTAATTGGTATTATTCCTAAAATGTTTCCGTGTTACTTTTTCTGGACCGAAGGTACCTTCTCCATCAGAAATATTATAGTGATTTTTTTTTTTATTTAGTGTAAAAACATAATTGAATATTTGGCTTCATCGCCTATCTAAGCACAGAATGAATGGTACTTACTCTTCTCACTAACCTTCCATTTCGCAATAAAAATTTATAACTTTCGATACTTATGTACAGTGCCAGCCTTAGACCTTCAGCGCCCCCGGGCAATGACGTCATCTTCCCCCTCCCAAAAATTTTAATTTATTTCTTAAGCTATTTATACTATGTAATATTTGAATTTTACTTCATTCAACATCTCTCAGTTGAATCAGTTGCTTTATTGATAGCCTAAAATTATTATTTTAATTCGTTTAATACCACTGAAGATCGGCCGTTACCCTAATACCCTGCTTATGTATGGTATTTTAAGATAAAAGTATTATGTATATAATTATGTAATAAAGGGTTTCTTTTGTATTTTCTTTTATGACCCCGATACCTATCCTTAGAGGTGGTTCTCATTCTATTACAAATAAGGAAGATTGGCCCTTGGGATGGCGATACTCTAAAAAGTGACCCTTGCCAAACTATTTGACAGGTCGCTAATAGTGGTGAGGACATTATATTTTTCTGTCTAGTTTCAAGCTGTCTGTGGTTGAGAAAAGCTGTACTCGTCTTTTTATCATCTTTATTTTAGGTCATTTTTTTTTTATTGTAAAATTTTCTTATAATAATGTAATTACTAAGCAGTTTTTATGTATTTCTCGTGTGTTGGGTAGGTTTTGCGTAGTTGTAATATTTTTATTGTACAATATCAAAGGATAGTTTAAGTTTGAGTACTCTAGGTGAGGGATGACGTCAAACTTCCTTCTTATCCTCACTCCGAGGTACGTCACTTCCTCACCCACTCTCTCTCCCTGTATGTCAAAGCTGATATAGTGTGCCTTGTCCCACGTGACGAGTGTCATGTCGATCCAACCCTGATCCCTCGTTCCCTCTAACGTTGGGCCAGAATGCTCATTTAACAAGACGATCTGACACCTTGTCAAGCTTTCCACCAACACTCGACCAATGGCATCTGTGTGGACCGAACCCCAATTTGTGCTCTAATGATTGGTGTCGGAACAGACTATCACGTTAAGCGTGACAGCCACCACGGCGGCTATATTATCATCTATATTTGCCGGTCTCCAGTTTTAAGTTCCTCGGCTCCATTGTTAATGATCAGGTTGACGAAGAAGAAGAAATGCAAAATCGGTTAATGGGGGCTAACAAAGCATATTTCGCCCTAAGAAGTTTCCTCCGGAGTAAACTACTAAGAAGGGGTACCAAAATTATTATATACAAAGCAATCATCCGACCTGTACTGACCTATGCCAGTGAAACCTGGACCCTACGCAAAAGCCTGTCTGAAAAGATTGACAGTTTTGAAAAAAAAAGTGTTGAGGCGCATCATGGGGCCAGTTAGAGATAATGGTACATGGCGTTTAAGGAAGAACAAGGAGATCTACGGCTTATTCGACGATCTCCGAGTTTCTCATTTCGTGCGAATTCAACGCTTAAAATGGCTGGGACATATTATCAGAATGGATGAAGGTAGAGCCGTGAGGAAATTATATTATGGAACCCCGTATGGAGCCAGATCACGTGGAAGACCGAAGGGAAGGTGGAAGGACTCCGTAGCTGAGGACTTGATGATGGTGGGAGTATCCAGCAGACATGCTGCTGACCGAAATGATTGGGAAACGGCAGTTGAGAGGGCCAAGGACAGCTTCAGGCGCCTGTGCGTTAAATAAATAATAATTTGCCGGTCTCATTTAATCTTGTCTCGTCGTACATACCGCCGAGACAAGAGTAAATGAGAGTCTCTTCCATTTCACGTAGCATGCCGAATTATGCACCGTGATGAGATTCCTCAGTTCCATTACGTCGATCTCGGAATTTACTATCACTACAGCCCACGGGCGGATCTCTGGGGAGGGGGAGCTTTGGGGCTGAAGCTCCCTCCCCCTAAAATGGTATTATTAAATTTATTTATTACCAGATCGGCCTGGTGGGCCTTACATGGTTGTTGTAACATTTGATGATTTTTAACAATTGTTCTGGTGGGGTATAGTCTTTGCAAAAGACACCCCTAACTATTTATACATTATAATTATTGAATAATTACAATTAATAAAGAAAAAATTTTTAATTGTTCATAACATGATGTCTTGGATCAGTTTGGGCTTCAGTCTTCGAGATGAGGTTGGGTTTCTTAAGTTGTAGGCCACTGCACCTTTAACTGTTGGTAGCTGCGTATGGAATTTTTTAAATCTTTTTTTGATGAATTCATCTATTGTTTCCAATTTTAGTTCTCGATGTAGTTGAGCGTTTCTTATGAACCAGGGGGCATCTACTGCAATTCTTAATACCTTGTTTTGGAAGGATTGTAGTTTTTTTCTTTTCGTAGCTGAAGCGGCTCCCCAGACTTCACATCCGTACATTAGCAAGGGTCTTAGTATGGTTTTATGAATAAGAACAGTTGTCTCTGGTTTTAAACTAGATTTTCTATTTACTATGGGATATAACATTGCTAACCTTGCGTATGTTTGGGTCAGTTTATTATTTATATGGTAATTCCACGTAAGGCGGCGGTCCAGATAAACTCCGAGGTATTTTACTGCTTCACTAGCTGGGTTCCATTTTAGTTCTTTATTTTTGAGAATCAGTTCAGGTGGGTCTGAGGGACGTCTAAGAGTAAAAATTTTTGCTGTACATTTTTCGGTGTTGAGACAAATCATCCATTTTTTTAAATATTGTTCTAGATTTACTAGGTAAGACTGCAGTGAATTTCTGGCTATTAATATATCATTGTGTTGGGAAAAGACAGCTGTATCGTCGGCAAACATAGCTATGGAGGTGTTTGTGGATTGGATAATGTCGTGAACATAAAAGTTAAAAAGTATGGGAGAAAGAACAGAACCTTGTGGGGTGCCGGCATGGATTTGTCTTAAGGTTGAATTTACATTATTTATTCTAACTGTAAATGTTCTGCCGTTGAGGAATGAGCTCAGAACGTCATATAAATATTTGGGCGTGTCCACTTTCTTTAGCTTGTACAGTAGACCACAATGCCAAACCTTATCAAACGCTTGTTGAAAGTCTAAAAACGTGACAAGAGTATGTTTTTTCATTTCAAATCCATTTACTATGAATTCTGATAATCTTGCCAGTTGGAGTGAAGTGGAATGACTATACTGGAAACCAAATTGAAAATCAGGAATAATACTATTACATTGTAAAAAGGATGTAAGATGTTTTTTTATGACTGACTCTAGTAATTTTCCAACTATGGGTAATAAACTTATCGGTCTATAGCTACTGACTTGTTTAGCGTTTTTACCATGCTTATGAATTACTACGAGTTCAGCTTTCTTCCACGTTTCGGGAAAATATCCAGTGCGTAGACAGCTATTAAAAATAGACGTAATGTAAACGAGAGCTTTTCTAGGAAAATTTTTTAAAGCAATAACTGGTATAAGGTCATGTCCTGGACTTTTTTTTACTTTGAGACTCCTAATTAGTTCTTGAATTTCTTTAGGGGTTGTGAATTTAATCGGAAGCTGTACAGTTGTTAGGGGCAATTTTAAATAATCTTCAACATCAACATTTGGTGAATGCGGACTTCTTTCGCATTCTGGGTTTGAGAACGTTTTCTCAAAGTAATCTGCAAATGCTTCAGCTTTTTCTGCGTCACTGATGATGTATCCTCCATTCTCTTCCAGACTAGGAATTTTCTCAAATTTGCTTAGTACACGCCGAGTAGCCTTCCACAGAGATTGGTCCTTTGGGTCTAAATCTTTTACGTAATTTTGGTATTTAGAATACACCCATTCATCCAGTTCTTTTTTAATTACGTGTTTGAGGTGGTTCCATGTCTTTTTGTAAGTAGGATCTCTGTTGCGCATCCACTGTCTCCTTGCATCTAAAATGGTAAATAACTATCTTTTATGGAAAAAAAGTATTAAAAAATTATCTCTTAAAGTATTATTGTTCTGGTAATTACATTTAAAAGGACTTTAGGAATCACTTAAACACCATTTCATACAGAAAGTTGGTTTCTTTCTTTTTTTTCCAAAGTAATTATCGTTATTTTTATGAAAAAAAAGCTTTCAGGCTGAAGCCCCCCAAAATTAAATCCTGGATCCGCTAGTGCTACAGCCGCTCTGGGCTTCCTCTCACCAATGCTCAGAACAATCACTTTGGACATTACACCAAACCAAATGACCACATTGTTCCGACAGCGCCGCTTCTAAACCCCATGATATCTACTTCTCGAACAAGAGTTCTAAATTCGTCAGCAAACATCTCATTTTTAGCCCATATTAACTTGCAGAATCTGCAGTCTACTCATATCGAGTCCACATCTCCAGCCATCATCTCCTTGTGCACGCCCTGCTGCCCGCTCACTGCTGGTGCTCCTTTCCTACTCTGTTTCCCTCCATGCAGTTTCTGCATACTGGGTCGACCTCGTTTTCTATCGCCGAATAATCCATCATCACCACAAGTAATATCTTTTTCGATCATTAATAAAAGATAGATTCTTAGCAATAAGACTCTAAAAAGATTATATAGTAAACTTAAACTCAGATTAGTTGGTAATATTGAAATCTTTGATTACTGTTATCCAACTGCCTTTTTTTCTTAATCCATGGCGGACATGGAACAAACCTTTGTCACTTTGACAGTAAAACTTTTTTTATATGCCTCGATGTTATGTAAAATCAATAATTACGTCTTATTATTTATTATTTTGATTTATTTATTAAGAAATATAATAATCTGTTACTTGGACAATAATTATAGTGGTAAATGAACACATTCACACCATATATACAGAAAATATAGGATTGACAAAAGTAAAATAATAACTAAATAATACTTAAAAACTACATAACATAAAAAATATAATAGCCTAAATATAAGTAAATTAAAAACATAAAAACACAGTTATACCTATATACAATATATAAAATATCTATTATCAGAAACATACAAATATGTTCACAAGAACAGCTGCATTAGTACCAAAGGATCAAACAACCAAATTGATCACGAACTGGTAGACAAGAGACAGCAGAGCTCAATACAAGATGTAAAAAGCTATCGTGGAGCAGACTGTGATTCGGATCACTATCTGTTTAGTATTAAACTATGGCAGAGATTGGCGCGAATTCCCACAGCAGGGGATCGAGTGGAAACAAGGGAGTAGGAAGTTCGTAATTTGAAAAATCCTAAGGTAAAAACCATTTTCCAAGATGAGCTGAAAAATAATTTCGAACAGCCTCACGGTGAACCAATACTGGGAGGAAATAGAGAAAGGGCTAAAAGAAATAGCTATGGAAATGGTAGGTATTCAGAAGAAACGAAAAGGTATGATGTGGTTCACAGAAACATGCGAAAAGGCAGTAGAGGAAAGAAGAAAGATGATAGTTCTCTGCCTAGCTACAACTGATCAAGTTCCTCAGGACAAGTTCAAATCTTCCAATAAAAATGCAAACAAAATTATGAGATCGATATAAAGGGAATTGAGAAAGATTGCAAACCATTGAGGACAACTGACAGGATGGAAATATACGCGAATTCTATGCAGACATTGGAAAAGTAAGGGTAGGTTATAAAGCAAGAAATAGGCAAATACGAGAGAAAGAAGTCACTCTGAGGTCATCTAAAGAAAAGATATTGAACATCTGGAAAGAATATTTCCAGAGACATCTCCATCAAGGGGACCTCATGAACAAAGAAGACATGTACCACACTGAGGACCTTGGCCCAGAAGAGGTTGAAAAACTAGATATACTGTATTTAGGCATAGCTATCGAAAAACTAAAAAATAGAAAGGCCCCAGGGGTAGACAACCTGCCATCAGAACTATTTAAAGATGGGGAAACGACTTAAGAGCGAAGCTACTACAACTGATCCAGAAAGTATAGGGAAAGGAAAGAATATCTGACGCTTGGAATACGGGTTTAATCTGTCCTATCCTAAAGAAAGGCTCAAGGTATGAGTGTAGTTATTACAGAGACATAGCACTCCTTCCAGTCGCCTTCCAGGTAATGACCACCAAGCTGAATTCAGAAAAAGAAGGAGCACGCTAGACCAGATTTTCATCCTAAAACAAGTACTCAAAAAACGATGGGAAGTAGCTCAGGTCGTCCACGACCTATTTGTCAAGTTCAAAGCAGCCTATGATTCTATGGACTGTAAAATCATGACTGAACTGAGAGTTCCCGGTAAGTTGTCGAAATTGAAAAAGGCGTGTGCAAATGACTCTAAGAGTAGTGTTCTAATACAAGGAGAAGTATCTGAAGCCTTTAAAGTTAGACCGGACAGGGAGATGAACTATCACCAATGTTGTTCGACTCAGCCCTGGAGAAGGTGATAAGAACATCACACGCAAAATGGAGGGGTCCACGTCGAAACGAATCATAAAATCCTTGAATACCCAGATGACATTGCTGTCCTTGGAAGTAATCAAGAGGACATTGACAAATTCTCTAAGACTCAGATTTGGAGAGGCAGAGCAGATAGGTCTACAAATAAATGAAGACCAAACAATATATATGATAATAATATGAAATTCCATCCTAAAAACATGATCGGCGTAGAAGGAAAATCATTCCCAAAAGCAGAGAAATTCAAATATCTCGGCTCCACAATAACCTCAATGAATGACCAACGATCAGAAATAGACCAGCGTATAACTATCGCAAACATAATTTTCTTCTCCCTTTCAAATGTATTGAAATCCCGTACCACCTTTCCGAACTGTTAAATATAAATTGGCTACAGTCCTTCCAACAATAGTCAATGCTCCGTACTACGTCAAAAACAAAACCTTACATCACGATCTCAACATCCCCATTGCCCTATATGTAATTCTGTCCAAATTCTCAAACTTTCATAAAATTCTAATCCATCACCCTAACCCCTTGGCGCAATCCCTTTTCAGCTCCAAACATCCATATAATTCCCGAAGGTTGAAACGGCAATGGCCCCGAGATCTTTTGTAAATATTCTATTGGAGTTCTGGTAGTCGCCATCTTCTCCTGTCTAGTCCTGAGCTTATGTTGCTTTAGCGCTCTTACTCAGTCTCCTCTAGTTTTTAAACAATGAAGAGGCAGAGAGAGAAGCGCTGGGATCTCTTTGAGCCCTGCTTTGCCTTTTACATGAGAGCGGCAAAGTACGGTTCAGAATTCTCTAGGCTGAATGTAAATATTTACGTAGGAATGAATGTGTGACAAGTATTTATATATATTTTTCTTTCTTTACTATTCTTTGAATAAAGTAATATTTTTTTACTCACATGTTTTTTTCTTACTTTATTTTTTTCTCAATGTGTATTTTAATTATTATATAAAATGTACAAATGTAAACATAGAGGCATATCAATGGCCTAGATTGTATTATATTTCTTTAATAAAACTGTGTATATTTAAATTTTACTTCGTTATTCTCCTCAAAGCTGCTTGAATCAAAATGGGTATATACTTTATATTGGGAAAACGTACAAACTTGAATTTGTTTTTTCTTTTTTAAATTTATAAAACATTGAAAATGTAGGTTACACGGTTTAGTTTGGTCAAATTTGAAATGGTAAGTTAATATTTAAATTAATATGTTCTATCAACGGTTTCAGTATGAGAAGTGGTCCAACGAGAGTATTGTCACTAACACCATTATATTTTCACCAACCCCTGATGATGATGGACACCAGCTAAAATGCCAAGCCACCAACCCAAGCATTCTTTCGTCACAATTGGAAGAATCACTAACTTTAAATGTTGTCTGTGAGTACATTTATAATTAAATCATAATCTAAGAAATTATTAAAAGCATATTCTTTCAGAGTAGTTTAATCATTATTGTTTAAAGATTTAATTATTTGGTTAATTTTTTAAATGCATGAGAAAATTGTGTTCTGATAAGAACACTTACTAATTTATTTTATTTTTTTTTTATAAATAAATAAAGTTGCATTTGAGGGAGAGCATAAATAAGATTAGTGTTGGTGTGAAATATTAAAAATGTACATGCATGAGAATAGTGAATAACTATCCTGTTATATAACCTGTATATATATGGTTTACGAATTCCCTGATCTATACCTCACGAACAGCGGTGCCCAGAAGGGATCTCATGGCGCAAGTTGTGCCATTAAAATGTTTGAGGGGGCCTATTTCGAATGGGTTGAATTTGCGGAATGAAAAGTTTTAACCTCCAGGTTTTGTTTGCCTCCAGGCAAAGGTAAAAACATAGACAAGACCACAGCAAGTGTAATTATATTTATATATTATCTACATTGTTTCTAATTCTTTCCTCACCTGCATTGTTTTAAGAGCAGGAAAGTAATAAAATTTCGTGGAAATGGGAGGGGGGAGATTTATGCGCCATCAACTTTGAGGGGGATGGGCACTCCTGCTCACGAAGATTTAACGGTATACCCAACTACTGAAAAAAAAAATCTATTTTTTTATCTATCACCTTCGCAAACGCGATGATGCAGAAAACAGGATACTGTGACAACACAACACTGAAAATATATATACACTCACAAACGTACTAAACCTACATTCGTCATCATCAATCGGCTCTACAACACATCACTAAATTTGTACGACTCTTGTTTTCACTGGTCTATTTCTAAACAGTTATAAAATTGTTGGAACGGTGAAATCCGAGCACCCATTCTCGAGTTAAAAGAGGAAAATCGAATGAAAATTCAGAAAATTTGTAACAATACTGTTTCCATTGGCCTAACTCTAAACAGTGATAAAATTCTCGGGACGGTGAAACACGGAGGATCCATTCTCGAGACAAAGGAGGAAAAGCGAATGGAAATTCGGATAATTTTCTACAGTAATTCTCCATTTTCGCCTCCATCTACATAGTCGGAAAAACTGTTGGACCGGTGAAAAACTGAGCATTCGATCACGATATAAAAGAGGAAAATCGGAGATTGTTAAACCGGTATTATCATAGAAAGTGCTTCCGACAACTAAAAGAAGATAGAAAAGGTTTTATACTGGTTTTGCTTTTAGCCTATTTCTAAACAGAGGAAAATCATATGTATTTGATTTTTTTATTACGATTATGCTATTATGATTACGTGTTACTATTACAGGGATTTTGATTACAATGATTATAATTACATGATTTAGCGATTATAAACAAAATCAAAAACTGTGATTACTATTGCAATCGTGTAATCAAATAATAATGTTCTTTTTTATTATAATCGTAATCGGAATCAGAATCATAGTCGTTGATTATAATTATGCTCATCTATGTCCTGGGACTATTGTCCCATTATTATAAATTATAATTATAATAAATTGTACATACAAAGAAAATGCCTATGTGGTCATGCATTAAATTAAATATTTACAAAATAATGTCTTATAAAAATAAAAATACAGGAAAGAAGAAAAAC